GAAGAAGACGTAAGAAGATGCTGGATGACCTTGGGGACAGAAGAGGATACTGTCATTTGAAGGAGAAAGCTCTAGATCGCATTAAGTGGAGGAATTGTTTTGAAAGAGACTGTGGACCTGTCGTCTTGACAGATTACTGATGATGATGATGATGACTATACGATGTGCGATGCCTACACGACAAAGGCGAAGCTTATTCATGGGCCGCCTCTGTGGTCTAGTGGTCCTGGCTACTAATCCGGAGGTCCCGGGTTCGATTCCCGGCGCTACCAGATTTTCTGAGAAGTAGTGTGTCTGGAACGGGGTCCACTAAGTCTCGTGAGGATAAATGAGCTTTTTGAAGGAAATAACGGCTCCGGTTTAGAAAGCCGAGATTAACGGCCGTGGGGATCCGTTGCGCTGACCACGTGACATCCTCTCTCTGCAGAAGCTGGCACTAACTTCGCCGACAAGCGGCGGTCGCTCGGTCGGTATAGTTCGCTTACGGACTACAGGCCATGGAGTTTGAAGCCTATTCATGAGAAACACATTCTCTCATCAGAGAGGATGTTACATAAGGACTATAGGCGCAAGGGTTCAGTTGCAAAAAAAAAAAAAAAATTGGTCGTGAGTCTCAGGGGGTTTGGCGCCAAGATGAAATGATTGGCGGTAAACCCCAAGTCGTAAAGTAGCTCTGACTCTGATTTGTCCCTCCCAGAACTTCCTGTTCGATCAGTGATACTGTCACCGTTGCTATGCTTTTTTGTAACACCAATGTACCAAGCATATGGAGAGTAGTATATAGGGCGTGTATAGCTTATCAAGTGTCATGTCACAGTATCTGTACTGCAAGCGGTAAGAGCTATCAGAACTGCAAATAATTTGCGTTGGTATCGTACGGCTATAAAGAGAACAAAAGCAAATGGATTCGCGTGCGTCGGGCCATGATTTTATCCCTTCCCTCGTGAACGGATAAATTGTTGAGAGGAGGAGGCAAGCAGAGAGACAGTTCGTGTGTTGTGCCAGTGACCGGTGCCAGCTGGTCCATTCACCTCAACAGTAAGTCCAATAAACGACATGTTGCGAATAACGAAACTTGTTTTGATTAGTGACTGGAATATACTGCCTTCCGGTAGCCTGAGGCGAGTTAATATCGAACCGAAATTAACAATAGTAACAACATTATTGGGTCAAAAGTACAAGTTTTGTGTGGATAGCAATGTTAGCTGAGAGAAGCAAATCACATCTAACAAAAAAGTTATATATACGATTTTTGTTTGTTTCAGAATTTGTTCACGAAGTTGAATGGAATTAAATGTTTCAAAAAACTTTTCCAAATTCAAATTTTTTAAAAAGTATTCAGAACATTTTCTTCTGTATATTTTTAATTCAGTTTCAGTTTTATACATCCAAATTGATCTGTTAAATATCATTATTCCATATAATTCTTCTAATAAAAATAGAGAAAATATTACTTTATTAAATTTTTCGAAATTTGACAGTTACATAATATTAACGGAAATGCATTCTTAACAAACCTGTTCCTCCTCTTTATAACATAGAAACACATTAGGCTTCTCAATTCGGTGGTATATCTGATTTGAAATATATCAACAGTGAAATGATTAGGTTGTGAAATGGACAGTTTCATAATTTATTTTCTTTTCCTAATGTTATTAGTGTGATCAAATCAAGGAGGCTGAGAAAGGCGGGTGAAGTAAGAGATAAGAAATTTAGTCCCAGAATCTAAAAGGAAGATATTATTTGTTAAATCCATGTGCTGATGTGAGGTTAATATTAAATTGTATTACAAAAAAATATGATATCAATGTGCAGACTGAATTCAAATATTGAGGTTAGAGTCCAGTGGTGGGCTGCAGTGAACACGAAAATTAATCATATATTTCTCGAAAATTTGAGCGGCCTATTAATTAGCAACGTGTTAAGAACTATTTTTGAGCATATAGTTGAATACTGTGTATACTGTAATAATCTAAACGAAATATTGTTAAACTACTAGAAGTTTTCGCGAACTCATAGCATGTAACTGGGAAAAAAATATACAGAGTGATTCTAAATTACTGTCGGGCTTTCCGACAATAATTTAGAATCTTACTGAATTATTAGGTGGCTGCAATAAATGTGAACAGAATCTGCTATCACTGGTACCAGCAGAAGTCTCATATGGTTCTAAATACGGTATCATTGCCAACGATTTTCCATCTCTCATGTAGTATATACCTGTAGCAATATGCAAGTTGTTCTTAGTAAAATAAAAAATGTACAATGTGATTCTGAATTATTGTCGGAAACCCCGACAATAATTTACAATCACTCCGTATATTGCAAATAGTCTGTTTCCTTATCACTTACTTATGGAGCTGAGCCCTTCTTGAGGAGCCGCCAATTCTGCAGCTATTCAAGAATTTCCCAGCATTTTATGTAACCCGAAGGTTCATTACCGCGTTCACAAGAGCCTTCCACTGTTCCCTATCCTTAGCAGATCAATGAAATCGATACCATCCCATACTATCTCTCTAAGATCCATTTTAATATTGTCCACCCACCTACACCTTGGTCTTCCCAGTGGTATCCTTCCTTCTGGCTTTCCCAACAATATCCTACATGCATTCCTCGTCTCACCCATTCGTGCTACATGTCCTTCCCACCTCATCCTCCTTGACGTGATCATTCTAATTACAGTTGGAGAGGAGTACACGTTATGAAGCTCCTCATTATGTAGTTTTCTCCAGGCTCCTGTCTCTTCATCTCTCTCCGGTTCCTTATTACTACTGTCAAATATTTGCAACACATTCCAGTGGCGTAGTACTGAGAAGTTCCACGAGGAGTTGAGAGGCCCGAAATTGCGCGCTTATATTTGCAGATCCATATCTGCGCCGTCTAATCTGGGGCAGCACAGAACCCACTGCTCTTCTAACGGTCCGTGAATGTAACAGGTCATAACGTGTTTCCGCATGAAAAAAATTGAGATACAACGATTTATTTTTAATTACGTAATAGAAAAAAATTAGCAGCTACACTTGTAGTGAGGATACTGCAACTTTTTTACCAGTTCCATTATGATTAATGTTCTGCCGTTAGCATATCTTGCAGTGAATTCTACAAATTCTCGAGTCCCAACAAGTAGACGCTATGATTCCGGTTATGCTTTTCGCAGAGCAAGAGTCAGCATAGGGAAATCCTTGTAGCAGTGGAATATCTATTCTCTTCGTCGGTGACGGCAGCCGCGCGTTCTAGGGCATGAAATGTCTTCTCCAGCTCGAACGTTGAAATCGTGGCTTCGAAATCCACTCAAGACATGAATGTCTGTATGCGTTTCTTCTATTCTTGTGTTGTTCTGTGTAGGAATCGGCCTCACGACGGACTGACCCTCCGCCCACTGATTTCTACCGACTGTGTATAGATTAAGGATCTGAAAAAGCGGCCAAGGAGGACAAGTTCTATAGAGTCATAGATGGATTTTTACAGTAAGATCGACGAGATAATGAAACAAAAGCCAGTCACAGTGGCCGTGCGGTCTAAAGTATGAAATATAATCTTATAGATTAAGGAACTGAAAAAGCGGCCAAGGAGGACAAGTTCTGTAGAGTCATTGATAGATTTTTACAGTAAGATCAATGAAGTAATGAAACAAAAGCCGGTCACAGTGGCCGCGCGGTCTAAGGCATGAAATATCTTGTTGTTCGCCAGGTTATTAATAGGTATGATTTTACTTAACGCGGGGGCGAACTTATGTTTGGTTTATTATAAATTTATTATAAATCTTGTAAATTGGAATACGTTAGGTAAACTACAAGTTGGTCAGCCGGAAACCAGAGTTGAGATCACCTTCAGACGTAGCACATTCTCAGGCATCCGGCTTCAGTTGTGTAGTTTACAGAAAATGTTGACAAATCGGGTGAACGACGCAGTGGCAAGACTCGCTTTCGCACAACAGGTTATCGGCCAGTACGAATTTGCCGATTTTAGAATTTTCAGTGAACAGGATTTTCATGATGTTGAGTTTTGGGGGCTGGGACAGGAGACGCCGCTAGGAGCAGTCGACTTTAGAAATCGTGTGGTAGGAAGGAGACGCGAAGGAGTCAGAAGTCTTCATCTTCACACTCTTCTGTAAGCCCGGGTACCTGCCTGTGTTCGGTTAGTATGCAATTTCTGGTTCACTGATTAGGTCATGAATTTTGGTTTGTTAATAGACTGTTAGGATAAAATTTGGTCAGTGATTTTAACGTATAAAATTTGGGGAATGAATTGCCAAATTGTAAATTTTCTCCACTGATTGGTTATTAGAATGTATACATTTTGGTTCATGGGTTGATGGTTAAGATATAAGAATTTTGTTTAGTAGTTACGTGTTAGGATATACCGTATTTACGCATGTATAGACCGCGTGCGTGTATAGGCCGCAGCACAATTTTCAAACAGAAATTATAGAAAAAATAATTTTCTTGGAATATTATTACTATTAGTATACTACTAGTATTACTAATTATGAATATATATATTTTTTAATGAAGTGTGATTTCGAATATTTCGAATATAAGTCGCACCCCAGTTTTCCTCTTGAATTTTTGGCAAAAAATGTGCGGCCTATACATGCGTAAATACGGTAATATTTGATTCACTAAATGTTTGTTAGAATATAAAAGGATTGACTTATAAATCGATCGCCAGGATATAGAATTTGATTTACAAGTAATTGTTATGAGATATTGATGCCGGAAGCAGCGTCATCAGCAGCGACTTGAAGCACAGAGCAAATGATGCTCGAGATGGTTCAAGTTCGTATAGCAACAGGCGTGACCAGAGTGGTTCGAACGGCTGTTGTACTGCGATGTGGAAAGCAAATGGAAAAACTACCACATTATCACTACCTGAATAGTCTCTTTCCAAAAACAGAAGATCGCATTAAGTGGAGGAACTGTTTTGGAAGAGACTGTGGACCTGTCGTCTGACAGATTACTGATGAATGAATAAGTTGATTTATTACTTGATTGTTGGGATATGAAATTTGGTTTGTGCCATGCAGGTTTAAAAGAGTTTGGTTAGCGGGTTTTGAAAGGTAATTTTAATGAGTGCAATATAATATTATGTAAATTTTATGGTTGTATGTATTTGTTAATTTCATTATATTTGTTTTTGTTCTCACTTGTTGAATGTTTACTGGGGTATTTGTAATAATTATGTCACTGGTCAGAGTAGGAGCTATCAACAGATATTTAACTAGTGGCAATTAGGTGGGATATAATAAGAATTTCGATGTCGTAAATGTGAGCCATAACAAAATTGGAGACAGCTTTGGGAATAAAATAAAGAAATTGGGGTGCCTCACCCCCGCTTGCACAATAATAAATAGGTAGCAGGGGTGGCGGCACAATAGTCTTCACCCTCTTTAACCACGTGATTGTGGGTTCGAATCCCACTCGAGGCATGGATGTCTGCGTTTATTCTGTGTTTGTGTTGTCGTGTTGCGACGGGCTGATCCCCCGTCCAAGGAGTTCTGCCGACTGTGTATAAAGTTCATAGTTCAGGATTAATTCTGACGGGAAGACGCCTAATACAAAAGGAAGAAGAAGAAGAATAATAACAGAAGAAGAAAAAGAAGAAGGTTATAACTGAAAGCAGGGATGTGGAGAACCCAAGGTTACGCGCTTCCTTGTCTGTGTTTGGAGGGATGAGTTGCTGGACTGTGCTTAAACGTATTCGCCCAGTGGGGGGTGGAGTCCAACTGGGTCCACTCGGCACGGCGGAAACTGAGTGGCCTATTGTAGCCTGCCCGGGTGATTATGATGATGGAGAATTTGTTGGAATGAAGATTGGCAAGGGAAACCGAAGTACTCGGAGAAAACCCGCCTCAGCGTCACTTTGTCCACCACAAATTCCATTTGACCATACCCGGGATCGAACCCGGGCCGTCGCGGTGGGAAGCCAGCGACTAACCGCTTGAGCTGTGGCGCGGCCAGTGCTTAAACGTATACTGTTACGTGGTTTTATACAGCAGATTTTAAAAGACAAAGGTTTTAATGATTTGTAGATTATTA